AATATTTTAATGTTTAAGATATTTTGTTAAGTTTCATCTCTATTTTATAAAATTGAATAGATACATGTTCAATCATGTTCTAATTATATCATAGGAAATATTACATCGTTCATATTTTATATTATAACTAATTTGCTCCCAATTGATTTGTTGATTTTTATTTATAAATGTTATCAAAAAATGTTATGAAAAAATAAGAAAAAGTAATAATTGATATTACTTGAATCAATCGAGGTAAACTGCAATATTTTAATTAAAATATTTAATAAGAGTTTTTAAATGCCTGATGTGACAGTTTCAAAATTTTACTTAATAAAAGTTAATTTGATACACACTAAAACAAATTGATAGCCTTACAAATTACTGTTATATATAATAATTTTTAATTAAAACGATTCGTTTAAAGTGCCAAATTGAGCAGAATTAGCCAGAGAAAGCGGCAAGAATGTCCCTTTGACCTACAATCCCACAAGACTTGCTAAACAATAATTTTTTTTATAAATGGCTATAACAAGAAACTAAATAAAACAATTCATGACGATAGAAATTATAACTTATATATTTTTATTTTCAACTAATAATTTTATTTTAACCTGTTTACCAATGTACTAACAGCACAAATTATATACATTTAAAAGCAGAATCGCAGTATTTTTTTTTTCAAAAAATATCAGTCAATATGCTTAATAATAATTTAAAAACATAAAATTGCTACGTGCAATTATGCAAGCAACTAATAAAATAAACAACGTATAAAATACTTCGACTGATCTATAAGGTCTACAAAAATATTTGATAAAAAATCAATTCAAACTACAAAAAGCGATACAAAGAAATAAAATTACTTCAAAACATATTTTACTATAAGTCGTTAGTACACGAGTTTAATAAAATTTCAAACGTATTAAGGAAACAACCTTTGAATTTTGGCTGTCCAACCAATAAACCTTGAAGCACATATGATAATGGTGTTTAGTGTAGATTGAAATAGTTTTATGATGTTTCTAATGGGAATGTATATTACTCACCACGGCTGCGCTATCATTTTGATCGTCAATTATCAAATGAAACAATAATTTATAATTCCTTGTTATCCTTTAAGTGAGGCACAAATTTCTACACTTTCCAAACTCACTCTAGCAACTTCTTTTTTTTCAATTTCACAAAACACGCGTGGTAAATGCAAATCAACAACTGCACAATAAAAAACACTCGATATATTTGTGGTGAGCTTTTTTAGGTATTTATTCAGAAATAGTAAATTTTAAACTGGTTCAATTAAATATTACTTCAGTTCATGTGTTCGAACTCCTTAAGAAATCGCGTCAGCCCGCACGAGATCGACCCTGTGCGCTTTGCGTTCGGGGAACACTACTTCGGAGATACAGAAATATATTTCAGAAGGATATTATAAGACTTGCTAGCTCGGGCATGTAACTCAAATGATTCGGTTCGAACTTAGCTAACTGACTAGGAGCATTTTAGCTAAATCGAGTACATTGCTACATCTTTATAGTAAATTGATTCTGATATAGAAAGGTTTGTTTCATAATTCTCCAATTGTGATGATCCGCGCATATTTTCAGATCAACTACATCTTATCTGTGCTTTCATTAAATAAAAAAAACTTTACCTTTAATTTCGAGGTTGTATACGTATAATCTGGATATTCAAAAATTGTAAAAATTCCGGTATGTTCGCAACAAGTCAAATCCACAATAACCTTACAGAATTTACTTATATTATTAGAAATAATATAATGATAAAAATAAATGGTGGTCTGCCCAAAGGCACAGTCCATGGTGTGAAAGCCACCACAAATAAATAATCCCTTTTCCTCTTTGTTTACAATTCCCTTTACCATTAAACCCTACTTTATTTCACGTTTATGCAGTTTCTTTTACAAACCTCTGCTTCCATGTTTCCTGATCCTGTGCTTCGGCTTTCAGTTCCCTGTATTCTCTCTTCTCGCGTAAGTCATCAATCATCTGCATTCTTCGTTTTCCCTGTCCTTTTATTCCGTCGTGTAAAAGGCACTCTTTTTGCAGAATGGCTCCAATCCAGTTTCCTTTTAATGATTGTGCTCAGTAGAGTTCTTTCTTCGCCGACTCTTCTCAGAACTTCTTCATTTGTTACCTTATCTGTCTACTTTATGTTCTCCATTCATTTTCAGTACTATATTTCAATAGTGTCCATATAGTTTTTGTCGGTCTTTTTTAGAGTCCATGTTTCTGATCCGTACAGGGCTATGCTCCAAACGTAACACTTAATTAATCTCTTCTGTAAGTCGAAGCTCAGTTTGATCGCCAGTTCCCTTCTTTGTGTCTTTGCGATAATATAAAAAGTTAATTTCTTATTGATTCTAAAGTTAATCGTGCACATTTTCAGATCAATTAGCTCTTATCTAAAATTTCATTATATAAAAATATGACACTTAGTTTTTTTTGCAGTCTTGTATACGATAACCCGAAATGCAATAATTGTAATAATTCCGTTACGTCCACAGCGAGTCCAATCAGCAATAACTTTACATCTAATATAGTTTTATTTTATATCGATAATTCTGAAACTGTTAAGCACATTTTCAGCCCAATAAGCTCTTAGTTATAATTCCATTAAATTAAAATACATGCCCTTATAATTATTATTTCCTGCATTGTATACGTATAACCTGGAATTTAAGTGTTGTAAGAATTGCGGTAGTTCCGCAGCAAGTCACATCCAAAATAACTTTAGATATAATATGGTTTATTTCATATCGATGATTCTAGATTGTTGATTTTGCACATTTATCAGACCAATTAGCTCTTGGTTGTAATTCCATTAAATGAAAATACACGACTTTATTTTTTTGCAGGCTTGTATACGTATAACCTGGAACGCAAGAACTGTAAGAATTGCGGTACGTGCGCAACCAGTAAAATCTACGATAACTTTAATTATAAATTAATTATTGAAATATTTATACTATTTTATACCATATGTACTAAATTTGTACAACGAATTCTATTATTTTATAATCTATTCCATGATTTTTCAAACACATTATTTTTTTTTATACATCTTTACTAAGATTTATAAATCTTTTTCTTCAGTTTTACAAGTATAATGTTCAAGTATATCAACATTTTTGTACATAGTACAGGGATACGTTCCGATTAATGCGAGTTGGTAATTTTTCCAAATCGGATCAGTAATTATTAGTAATGTTTCAAAAATATTTCTCAAGCTAGTTTTATATGTTATACTTACAAATGCCCCCTGAACACAAACATATTTAAAATTATCGGAAGACTAAAACAAACTTATTTGAAATATATAACATAAAAAATAAATATACTTAAATTACCTTACTTTAAATTGCAATGAACTGTAAACACTCCTGCTACAAAATTCATCAAATAAAATAGATAATATTGAATTTTAGCTAAAAATCACTCAGGAGGCAATGTACAATTTAAAGACTAATTGCCATAGTGACTTCAGCACACAAAATTTGAAGTATTCACACATATTGAACATATCTAAACATATGTTTAGATCCAATGAGGATTTAGATGATATTATCAGCTCTTGGTACAAAAAGGCAATCAGAATCCGATATTCTGATCATATTTAATATCTTAAAATTCCTTTGGAAACCTACCAACTACTTGGGTCGTCACTTAGACCGTAGGCTGACTTAAAATCAACATATATATGTTGTTTTATATAAAACAAAAAAGGAAACAAATAACGAAGAAATTCAAACATGTTAAGAGATCAAATATTTGCCATACTCAAACAAAATATTTCAAAAAGATTTAAAAAACGCAAAGGTACTTACTTTCAAATCTAACTTGCAACTTATACCTGGTATTAATACAAGGTAAATCTCATTCGACAAAGGGGATTAAATTGTAGGTTTGTGCAAGATCAAAAATTTCAAAATAAATTTATAAAAGCCTCCTGGTAAGAAACTTACTAATAAAAATATCCATAAAGAATTAGATACAACCAAGAAGTAATGCATGGCAATAAGTATGATCATAAACTAAACCAACATCCAAAGTCACAAATTCAAGTTCAGTAAATCAGTAAATGATCAGTAAATTTACAGATCATTTCTAACAGCGCTTCCTCTTACTCACTATTTTTACTGAATGTAATAATAGTAATAAAAATATTTTTTAAAACGAAACTCACAGCATTATTACCACTTGATTTTTACTACTCTTTTGTAAAAATTTTCATTAATTTGTTGTTGTTATATTTATGCTGCAATGCAACAGCAATAACCCGAACTCATATAGAGTATATGAATGCTTATCATTATTTTTAAATTAGATGCTTACATTAAATTTTATTTTAGAAAAGCTCGATGACAGCAAACATATTGAAATTAGCAAGTATTTGAAGATATCAAAATCATACAAGTTTGAAGAAGTCAGAAGTTGAAACTGAAAGAAATTAGACTGGAAATTTTTCAAGATAAAAATAGTTGCTTAGAAAAGGCTTGTTCCACACCTTCAAACTATGCAATCTTTACATATGATCATGAATAATAACGTTAACTCCATCATCATTTTTCTATTTTGAATTTGAAAAGACATCTTGAATTATAATTTTCAATAAAAATACTTCATTTTTGAATATACATAAACTCGAAACAAATTGTAAAACAGTTGCAAACAGTTTGAATGTTTGATTTCATGTTTTAAAAAAATATTCATATTAGCAGAAGTTACTTTTTTATGGTTGCATGAGACTAGTATTTCCGGCAACTAAAACCATCTCATTTTTAACTAATGTGTGAAAAACTTTTACCTAAAAAATGAAAAAAAAAATAATTCGATAAAATTTAATAATTCACAAGCCTTTTCTAAGAAATAATAAAAAACAGAAAAAAAATTATAGTTGATAGTATTATAAATATAAATTTTATTAGCTTTGAAGAAAATATTATTAACATATGTACAAAATATAGAATAAATTTAACAGAAACATTTTTTATATTTAACAAGGTTTTTAAAAATAGCGTAAGTAGTTAGAATATATTATAATTTATTATTAATATATTAAATATGTTCGTATGTATGTATATGTTTATGTAATGTAACGAAAAACAAATAGGAATTACCAATTTAATATTCGATCTGTAAATACAATCTGTTTGAATATACTGTCCTGTATCCCATGACTTGGTTTAGCCTTTCTAGTTTCAGTAATATAAGTTACTTTTTCTTTGATATCAGTTCTAGGAATATCTCCTCGTAAATGTAGTAACCTCAACAAATGATCCTCAGTTATTGCAGGATACTTTTCAACCAGACTATGTAAATCTAAACTGAGCATATCAGCATCTTCACATTTTAATACTTCAGCTAACATATTGACTACATCAAAAGGAGAGTCAAAATTACCAACTTTTGGAGCAATTTTGCTGAAGAAGGACACAATTTGTTTTATTTCCTTCAACACTTTATTAGCTACATTCATACACTCCTCATAAGTACGAAAAGATATTTTCTTCGAAAACATAGCTGTTATATATCGTTTTGTAACTAAATTTTGTGCTTCTGTAATTACATAATCAAAATTTTTAGGTCTCAAATGATTGTAATCTTGAAAATAATCTTGGAATGTGACACAAATTGTATCAACAGCTTCAGAACTACCAATCCAATTAGTTGTGAACAGATCTTCAAAATGTGATTCCAAATCTAAAAAGGCCTCCTCTAACAAGAATGATGCAGCTAAATCTCTTAATTCTTGGAAGGTATGTAATAAACCTTCAAATTTAGTTTCACCAGGACCATCATGAAATCCACGTGGCCAGAAACGTTGTTTCATTTGTTGAGCTAAATCCCCAATTTGCAAACTATTATTGACAATACTAATAATATAATGAGTGAATAGTGGCACTTGACTTCTGTCCTTAAAGTGCCTATTTTTGAATTCAATAATTTTGGCTCTGTACATATTTCCATATTTTGTGATTTGATCAATACTTAGTAATAAAGATTTGAATGTGAGTTCTTTATTGATCGTATTTGTAACCTAAAATGTTAGACACACTTAGGTTTAACTCAGATACACAATGTATTGTATTGAATATAACACAAATTATGAGATTGAATATGTGCTTGAATAACTAAGTGTTTTATTATGAAATAAGTGAATTCAAAATGGTGATATGAACAATAATATTATGAGATTGAATATGTGCATAAAACAATTATTTTATTATGGAATAAGCCAATGCAGAATGATTATATGAACAATAATATAAATAAGATTGAATATGTTCTTGAAACAAAGCGTTTTATTATGGAATAAGTTAATGCGGAACGATGGTATGAACATAGATAAGGATGGTATAAACAACGATATCATACATGTTATGAAACCTGTCTATAAAACCCCCACCCTTGTGTAAAGATTATTATTTTTATAACCAGATATCTTGGCAATAACTACAATAATAATTTGATTTGTTATGTCTCTGAATGTCTAATGTTCAGTCAAGTTTGTAACTAATTTGTTAATCTCAGCATATGAATATTCATTTGATGACAATAATAAAACTAAAGATCAATGTATGCAAAGTATCCCAACCAATAACCAGCATGCATAGAAATTTAAATAAACTTACAGTCAAATTTTGATCAACCATTTGAAAAATAATAATAGGTTCTGAAGTATGAAAATATCCTGTTTGATCATCTTCTTCAGGTGGACTTCCAGACTGCCAGCTTTGACTTTCTTTTTCTAATGTTTTAGCAAGCCAATCAGCATAATTTTTCTCCATATTCTGAAACACAAATAATTAAATTAGAAATATTATTTGTTTAAATATACTAATGTACAAGCTTGATATAAGGATGATTATATTTTTTACCTGTAAATATTCCGATTGCATTTTGACAAGAACAGATTCCGGCAGTAATGGACCAAATTTACTAATATCAATATTTAGTTCTGGATTGTTCATTAATTCTGTTCCCTCATATGTATTCAAAATCCATGATAATACAGAAACATACTCGTTACCTTCTAAACCATTACCAATCAATTCTTGTAACTGAGAACAAAAATTGAATCACAAAGTTTTCAAAGCACAAAATGTATAATGAGAATAATAATGTAATTTTCAAAACACTTGAAATAAAATACTTACATGTCTAGATAAGCAAGTATGATACATATTCACATATGTATTTAGTATATCATAATGGGGTGGAAAGCAAGGCACACACAAAGTTTTAACAACTCTTAAATCTTCCAATATTAATTGACGAGTGAGTTCAAGATAACGCACAAGCCATAGTTTATTATCTTCTCTCTCATCAACATGGGTTCCTTCAATTCTTTGAGCAACTGATTGCTCTAAAACCTGCATAGCTTTTTCTCTCCATTTCTTTGGTCTACCTGGAGGAAGAAATCCACTCTGACGATGTTGCTGAAATTGTTATTAAAGTTACAGTTACTTTACAATAAAAATTAGAAAATGATAAATGTTGATCCTTAAACTACTTTATCACCTATTCACAATTGTTATAAAAATATTATGAAACACTTTATACATACTTGTAGAGCAAATTGATCAGTTTTCTCCTCCCTCTCAATGATTCTTAAAGCTGTAACAATAACAGTAGGTTCTTTGCGAACTGTATTAAGTGTTCTACCCAAAATTAAACGCAGCTGTTTTTCTAGCACATCAGAAAGAGATTCAACATCTTTAAAGCAGGCTTTGAGCATTCCTTTATCATATGGTGATTGATTTGGAAGCTTATGCAACTCATACAGTAAGTCATCACGAGAATTTTCTAAATCTGATAGGCACTACAAAAAAAAAAAAAAAATTAAATGGAGACATAAAAAATGTTCAAGAAACATTTAGCATATTTAGGAAAATAATGTAGTACACAGCATATGTATTATTATAACTTACATCTTATATGAAATACTTTCATTATGATACAAAAATTAATAAAACTAAATATATTTTAATCCTTTTATCAGAAATAAATATTTAAAATATTTTGTGAAAAAAATTATTCTATGTGTAGTACCAAATACATTTAATTATTATGCAAAACATTTCACAGTTATTTCATCATTATAATTATCATTAATTCAGAAACTTTGCTTCTATGTATTAATATTTAATAATACTTAGATATTAATCCAGTTGTAATTTGATAGTTTTTACTAAATCTGTTCATAATCTTCTAAGATTGTAAGTACTACAATCAATATAAATATTTTGCATTTTATTATGAAATAAAAACTCCCACTTCCATAATGTATATTAAACTGGAGGATGAAAATAAAATATTTTAGAAATCATTTATTATAAGTAACATATTTTACCTATGTAGCTATATATTACTATAAATATAGTCAATATCCTCATTCAAGATAAAGAATTAAATTAGTTATCAAACAAAGTATATTTTAAACGAAAGCAATCATACCTGATGAGTGTGCAAAAGTTTTCCCTCATTAATCCACTGTTCAGTGCGCTTTACACTGTCAGGAACTGTAAAAATATGTTTCAAATTTTCTATGGCCGTTACATATTGGGAATGACGCATATTTTCATTTCTTACTTCATGTAAGCTATTGTACAAATCAGGAACACATTTGAAGGCGTTTTGTATTTCATTCAATCTTCAATAAACAAGATTAAGTTAATAATTATTTTGCATATTTATGTATTATTCATAAATCTTTATAATTACTTAGTTTGAATTTCTGGAATTTCTTTTTCACACATCTGAAGTTGTGTGAGCCCCGTACGAACACCATCAAGTTTGCTTTGAATAGCATTTTTAAGTTTAGCTTCTATTGAAGCTTTCTTCCTGCTTACACGAAATTTATATTGCTCCACCTAGTTCATCAAATTAGTAATTAGTAAAAATAATGATAATAATAAAGAAAGAAATGCTTATCAAATTACCTTTTCTAATTGACCAGGCCTTTGAAGCATATTAGTAACATACTTCTTTGCATCGGCAATTTTAGCCTCCTCGTCCATTTTATGCAATTTAACTTTTCCAACTAAATTCTTAGAACATCTCACCTTGAAGCAAAATAATAGTACGTGAGTAAGAATTAATTTTTATATATAAAACTTAAATTTTAAATATTGTTACATTTATTCATTTTTTGCTAAAAATTCAGTTATACCTCATTACAATGAAAAATAATATGTACATATTATTTCTTCATATATAACCAATAGAAAAATATATTGTAATATAATTCGGTAGCTTATAGATTATGTAGATTAGAGCAATAATTTTTTGCATTGCATATTGGATAGTCACACCAAATCAATGACTATCAATTATTTTCAATTTTTTTTCTATTTAAGTTGTCGGAAAAAAAACTCAACATTATTTCAGAATATTTATTTGATATTTAGTTTTTAATTCTTTCATTTTGCTTTCTGTGGCTGCATGATAGTAATTCACAAATATTTCACTTAAAGCATAGACAAATATTTAATTGAAATGTTTAATAAACTACTATAAATTTGATTGTTTGGGATAAGAATTTTCAATTGAAGACAATGAAAAATGGAAAATTTTAATTGGAACTCATAATAAAAACTATATAAAATTTTAAATAAATTACTTCAAAATTTGCTAATATAAAAAGTTAAGTTTATTATAAACTAAGATCCCTAAATATATAATAATAGATAAAGTAGTCCGCAAAGAAGTTAATAATCATAAAAATTATAAGAACTCAATTATAAAAAACATGTTTCTAAAAATATAAGACTGTATTTCTAGGTCGTTAGGTTGAAAAAGTATATAAAATAAAAATGTTTCTAAAAATATATAAATTGCTATAAATTAATAATATTCCCACAATCTTTTTAACTTGTAAGTTATTGCAGTCGTTCAAAAATCGAAAATGAGAATTTTTGCATGTTTTTATGTTCAAAGGTTTCTGAACATTTTAACATATCTTAGAAAAAATAATTGTATGTGTGTGTGTGATGTGGGGATACGATTTTTCGGCATCAACGTTGTATGCATACCAATATCAACAAGGAAATCGGCATAGATAAATAAACATTTTAAAGTTACATCGTAGTACAAATCTTGACTTAATGAAAAATGCCTGAATCAGAAGAATATTTTACCCTGTTCCTTGAAAATAATAAAACAAATTAAACATTTGTGCCGTGTACTAAGCGTAAGTGTATTGATTAAAAATGATTTCTATATTATTCGTAGTTTCTATAAATACTTCAAGTTATTAAAATGGAAAATATTGTTTAGGCAAGACAGATATTACAGCTGTTCAAAGAATAAGATTATATAACCAGCAAAAAAGTAAAAAAATACAAGCAATCAATGAATGTATGTTAATTTTAATTATATGAAGTTCCTCAAACACAATTACATGATGAATTAAGTTGCAGAAACAATATTTGTTTAGGCGTTGTTTACCATAATCCACTGTGTGAATGAATATTATAGAATTTATTAATCAGTAATTACTCCATTTCTCAAATGAAGGTTTATTTCTAAGTGCTAATTGGAATGACAAACCGATCATGTCATATTTGAAGTATGACTTTAATTACATTATTGTTTTTAAATGTTATACATATTTTTATATAATTTATAATTTATTATTATATAAATGTAATGGTTGACACTTACAAATGTGTGCATCACGAGTGTTACCATATTACTAATAAACATTATTCAAAATTGTAATATGATTTGTATTTATTTTTATTAACTGAAATTTGCTACTTTGTACAGTAGCAAATAAGTTTTACTTCAATCGCGTGTGAACCTTACGCGCACTCTTTTTTTTTAATTTCCAAAAAACCTCAAATAAATAATTTTAGCATCGCAATTCAGTTTATATAATTCTTAGAAATGTAAGAAAAGTTTCATCATTCTAACTCCTCTTGATCAAGTACATAAACATCGTCATCCAATTTATAAGCTCTTATATTTTGTCTATAACAAGAATGAAAGTTACAGTATTTAAAATAATCTATTTGAAAACGTTTTATATTCCTTGAATATTTCATTGCGTACGGAAAGTTCCAGCAATTTGCTTTAGCACGATGCCATGCTCCACTAGTTTGTTATGAGATGTAAAGTTGATCGCACAATTTCTATAATTTATTTATACATATTATCATAAAACAAGCGATAGATGTAAGATAATAGTGCTTAAAATTAAGTTAATCATAGCATTTGATGTACATTTATATTTATGCAAAATTATTTGACTTCTTTCACATAATTAGCAATAATTTTGTAACTTAAAAATATATTACAAGAAAATCATAATAAATATAAAATACGTCAAAGCTAATATATTTACCTTTCAGTTTAATTGCACTGTCACAAAATATTTGTGAAGCATGTACAAAAAAAAATCCACAATCATGTCACAAACCAAGACATGTTAAATATGTTTGTTGCTTAAATAGGAATTTAGGTATATGGAATAATTTTTAAAGGAAAAATGTAGGAAGGAAATTACACAAATGTCATTTTTTATTTTATATATGAATTAAATGCGACCATTTGGCTCGACAGAAAAAACTTGACGAAAAAAAACGTGAAATGTTATTTATTCATGTTGGTAGCAATTATTTAGGGAAAGTTTGGCATTTCGTGATGTGACTGAGAAGTTCTAATAATATTTATCTAGACTTTTGAATAATGTTTCATTTATCATTTTCCTTATTAATTGCCGTTGTTATGTACATTTTTCCTAAATATATTTCCGTTGACCCTTAGTTTCCCATTCTATTCATAATGGTGTGTGCGACTTAGAAACCTTGTGCTTATAAAATTTTCGTATTTGGTTATTCCGATACTAAACAATGGAGAAAAATGAAATAAACACAAAATATTTGTCTGATGCCTTCAAAAATTGTCGTGTTCATCGTCATTATGACAACATCAATTTGTAATTGTGTGTAAGTAAGAATTGATCAAACGAATTTATAGTTCTCTTTTTGTGAATGAAAATAGACTGGTGTAGCTAATGAGTGTAGTGGGTTGTTTATTTAACTTAAATTTGTGGAAATCGTCAAATTCACTAGTTTTACCAATGTATTCGTAAGAAAATGACAATTATGTTAAAAATTAGTGTTTCACATGCTATTTTTGATGATATAACAAATATTTATTTATAATAATTTTCTAATTTTGAAGTTTCTTCGAGCATATTCTTAATAATACTTTTTTGTTATGTTTTTAAATGGATCATATAACCATCCTATAATTTCATGAATGTTCTCAGTGAAAATAAATACCTAGTATTAAGCTGTTTTAAAAAATATTACATTATCATTTTTAAATTATAAATGGATTAGGTTAAGTATATTTGACCTTTTCTCTCAATGTAAGAAAGTAAACATACTGGAGTTACTTTGTTCCTAAATTTTCTTTCAACATCTAACCTTAATTCAATAATATTTAATCAAAATTCAAGACTTCAATTTTATCTAAATGTATTAATTTTTTTGAATCCTCTATGAGATATACATACTGTTATTTCAGATATGTCTGAGCTGTTGAATAGGTAGTTTTAAATAAAAATGATTAAGGAAAAAAGAGAAAAGAGTGGTCTGAATGCTGGAGCATCTAACACCACAACTATTAAAGAAGAAACTATTGACACTTCCCATAACAAAGCTGCCTGTAAGTTGTTACAAAATAACAGTGCATATATTTAAACACTATTTGTCGACCAAAATTAATTTTTATATAATGATTCTAGGTACAACAGACTCTAGTTCTTTAACAAAAATGACAGATGATGATTCTCCTATAAGTAGTTGTAGTTTGAAGAAAGAAGGCATTACTAGTGGTCGTGGTTCCAATGGAAATCTTCCAGTAATTGGTTCAAATAGTTCCGGATCATTAGGTGATAGAAAACCCGATTCTTGCAATATGGAAAACAATGCAGAAGACAGTTAGTATTATGCTTTTAATATGCAACATGCTATTTTGAACAACCTATGCTATATTTTTATCACAAATTTGTGCTTGCAATGAAAAAATTGTTTTTGAACTTGGTTAATTATTTATTCTATAGAGCGACATGAGCTATGTTTTATATTACTCTTCAAAATCTTTATATGTTTATTATTAGTGCAAATAAATGATGATGGAGGTAGCGGAAGTGCATCATGTAACCCAACCGTAAAACCAGAAGAAACTGGTTCAGATATAAGTACAGATAATTTTAATTCATTAACCGGATCAGTTTCGATGAATGTTCCAATGGGTATACCTAGAACATCACAACAGGCTCCTACAACAGATGGTATACAGCCTTTACCATCAAATGTTATTAATAAGCAGCCAAGTAGTATGGAGGTAAATATATTTATAAACTAATATTTTATTTAGATCATTATAATCTTTACGTCAGTTATGATACATCTGGCTCACCGTATTTGTAATTTTGATAATCATATGTAATTTTAATACTACTCAAGCATTAATTTTTTATGTATTTGTATATAGTTATATTCACACATTTTTTTAATTTCAGTATATGCAGCAGCAAAGTCAAATTTTCGTTTTCTCAACAACATGGGCAAATAAAGGTGCAGAAGCAGTATTTCAAGGACAGTATCAATCAATTATTGCCTATCACTGTGCACAACCAGGGACAAAAAAATACTTAGAGGTGTGCATATTATTCAAATAATAAATTCCATTCAAGATTAATTTACTAATGATGTGTGCATTTCAGAAACATCCTTTAAAAATGACACAATTTAATAGACAAAATCATGCTCAATGGTTAAATAATTAGCTATGATGAAAAATAAGGGGGCCATGAGAACTCCAGGCATGATGAATCAGGCAAACAAAATCCCTGGGAACATGCCTAATTTTCCTGGTCACACTGATTTACCACATACTGAAAATGATATGCCTTGGGATCAGGTAAACATAATAAGATTTAAGATGTGTGTTATATGAAACCAACCAGAAGCTGTAAATGGCTGTGAATGGACTATAATAGAAAAAATGTCATTGAATTTGCATTAAACATGATAATATGTTGAAAAGCAATTTGGTATACAATACCAAATTATTATTATTATTTACAGTTCTTCCAAATCTGTATATTCTATATGTTTGGGTTTCAATGCATATCATTATTTTAATTGTTGTATGTGCATTGAATATTGTTATTTCCATAGACATTGTCTTACAAAGATATATATATATATTACAGAACACAAATTTGGGGAATTTGGATGGAATAGCAAATGGAGGACCGAACATTTTACCTGATGGCTCAATAGATGTTCCACCACTTGATGGTCTTGTACCAGAGTCACCACACGGTGCAGGAGTGCACATGTCCAATTCTGGTTGTCCCTCTTCCATGGGTCAGAGTCCTATTATGACCTCAACTAGCCCTGGCAGCCCATCTCTATCAAGTTTACAACCATCATTACAAGGTAAATGTAAAAGTTGTGAAATTGTTTATCGCATTGATTATAATATGAATCTTATTTTTAGGTGTGAAAGTGCCAGATGAAAATCTAACACCTCAGCAAAGACAGCACAGAGAAGTTCAATTGGCTACAATCAGAAAAATGCAACAAATGTTATTTCCTGAGCAAGGTTTGTAGAGTGTGCTGCAGAATCTTTTTTATTTTTTTTGTTAACAGTTTTGGTCACTACATAGCAATATCATTCTAAGAATACCAGCAGAAATTTTAGTATAAAATAGAACCAAATCTCTTCAATATGTGTTTCTTTTCAGGCATGACAGAACCAGGTCTAGATGGCAATAAAGGACCTGGTCAACATGATATGATGCAACAAAAGGGTCAGAACATGAATCCTTGTATTCCAACATCAGGCACCACTCATGCATCTATGCAAGGAGTTCCACCTATGAGAGGAGTTGTACCATCTATGGTAGGAGTTTCATTATTTAAAACCATTTTTCAAAAACTCTTTATGCAAGAATAATTTTATGTTTTGTTTATTTCAATGACTAAATCTAAATCATAAATTCAGAATCTAAAACATAATATTTATAACACATGTTTGAACCATTGATTTTCAGATTGATGATGCTAAAATCAATTTTACCTGCATGGTTATTATTTTAATTTGAAATGTTTTGCAGGGTATGCCTGGTGGTCCAGGTCATACTGGTCCTAATATGCCATGTAGGCCAATGGGTCCAGGTGTTGTGCCAGGGGGCCCAATGAGTGGAGGACCAATGGATGGAATGCCAGATTCAATGGGTTGTAGTGGTCCCATGTCTATGGGTGGTCCTATGATGGGTAAATATAAAATACATATTATAATATTGATATTGCTATGTGTGCATTTTCAATCAAATACTATTATGTTAAATGAATAGCAAAAGATCTAGAAATAAATTAGTTACATGATACAAATCTTACAAAAATAAGTTGCCATTTGCTTTCTATTATTATTAATAAGAGTGCATATTTTAATTATCAGTTTCTAAAATAAACCAAATAAAAACATTTATTAGTATGTTCATTAGTTTTTTGTGCGAATTAATTTGAGTTGGGTTGAATTTTAAATATGTTCCCAACCAAGTCAGTGGCTTTTTAATAATTTTGTTTTTTATCTTTATAGGTAATGCTATGGGTAATGCAATGCAGCAAAATCAAATGAATAATATGCCAGGAATGATGGATAATGTTGGAGGGCAAATGTGTGGCCCCATGCCACCTGGTCATATGATGGTACAAAGTCAATTAAATTATTATAAAATAATTTTGCAAAAAAGTAATGTGCATGTATTATTGTCCATAAGCTTAAATTTCTGTCATATGTAATAGATTGCATATCATATAGATATCATCTTGATCCTAGCAATATGTTTATATAGGGCGGTCCAAGTGTTATGTCACCTTGTGTAATGGGGCAGCAAAAGCAAGGTATGCTCGGACCTAATGGCCCACCGAACTCTGTTGCGGCTCAGCTTGAATGGCATAAGCTTCAAAGTCAATTCTTTGAAGATAGAAACAAAGTAAAAGTTCAATCTTCAATGGGGAGTCCAGTTAATCAAAATGTTGGTCCAGGTCCTGGATCAGGCAATCGTCCTGCAGGACGAGGGCCTTCACAGGCTCAAAGATCTCAAGGTAATATATAAAAGAGCTATGTTTTAATGGAATTTAATTGTTTTTGGTAGTATTGTATTTAACCGATAATTTTTTTTTAAATTAAAATCTTCACTTTTGTGATCATTCATCGTCAATTTAAATATTATTTTTGCAGGCCCACCTCCACCTTATCATCAAACACAAAGATCTGCATCTGTGCCTATTGCGATCCAGAGTCCAAATCCATCTAGCCCCAATAATCCTACATCAAACCTATCACTACCATCGCCAAGGGCTGGATCTGCTCTGAATTCTCCAGCAGACAACTCTCGGCAGTTCTCAAATCCATCTGGTATCAAATCAAATGTTGGAACTGGACAAAGTCCTAATTCACAGGATTCGCCCTCTGGTATTTATTGTAAACCTTTCTTATTATTTGTTGAGTGAATTTATCTCTATTATTATTTCAACCTTAAATTTTTTAGTATGTCAACAAATTTAAAATAGATTGAACTATGGAACACAAAACTAGTTCAAGTAGATATTCATAATAAACAATATAATTTATAAGATACTATTATAACAAGACTATTATAAATAATTGTATTATGTAGGTCGTACGCATAATCCTAGTAACCCAGGAACACCAATCTCATCACATATGTCTCCTAGTGCCAGTATTAAGGATATTGAATTTCCTCCTACAAGCCAACAAAACCCACCATCAGGTGATTTAATTTTCACTAATTCTTGTCATGTTAAATTTAGTACAACATTTGAGAGCTGAATATGCAGTTTGCAATACGTTTATGCTGCACTATATGATAGCATTTTATAAATTAAAAACATTTTTCAAAGACAGAATTTGATTCCTTGATTTATTATTCCCACAATCTATTATATCATAATTTATCCTATAGCTGATGGAATGTTTGGACGAACACTTCAGTCTTTAGCACAACAAAAGTCTCACCAGGCAAATCTTGGAGGTCCTCCTAAAGAACCCAATTTAATGCCAGTGCCTTCTCCACAGCAAATTCAATATATAGGAACATTCGAAGGCCAGGAACTGACTATTCAAAAACAACCAAACACTAGTCTCAAAGATAATAATATGATATCGCCAAAGTAAGAATGATTTTGAATACATGTATTTATTATGTTATAGAAATGAATTGGTTTTTTGAAATAATACATTTTTATCAGTCGCAAATTTTCATCATACACAAATTTAAATATAGTTTAAAAAGTTACACTCTGATTAAAAGTATTTATACATAAAATTTGTTAATATGGATCTATGTATAATATGGATCTATAATGTATGTGCAAGCAAAGCATAATAAAAAAATATGCTTTTCTATAATATTATTTTGTTATTTAATAAGTGTCCTACCTACTACAATGGATGGAAATTTTGCCGGAAACAACACAACTACAGAGTCAAGGCTTTCTGGGCCAAGTACACCTTTAACACCATGTTTAGAGTCTAGATTTCCAATTCCACAGAGTCCACAAACACCTGGAAATGTTCCAACCACATCATCATCAAATTCAGGTAGAATATATATAAGCGACTTTCTACTTATTCAGCAAATCTCCGACTTTGTACTAAATTTATCATGTAACTATCTTTAAGTCAATTTTTTTTAAGACATCTTTTTTTAATTCTGCATTTTATATACATTATTTTAATTATATTCTTGTGTCATTTTTTGATAAGTTGATATTTCTAACTTAGCTGACAAAAATACTCGGCTTCCTGGAGCTGGGCCAAGTCCTCTTGGTTCACAGGGTCCTCAAACGCCAGGCAGTGATCCAATGAAGTCTCAACCAGAATTAGGTCGGTTTAACACCTCAAGTCCTGTTCTAGGTGGTATGTCTTTTTCATCAAAACTTCAGTCTGGGCAAATGAAATTAGCAAATTTTATGGATGGGGTGCCACATGGTAAAAACATGCCTGGCATAGCACCTGGTACAGATGTAAGTATATAATCAATAACATTTGCTTATGTTATGATATTACATTAGAGTTGAATTTTAATATTGTTCTCTATATAGGCTTCATCAGTGCCGACAAGTTTTGCCTGTGGAAGAGCTGATAACATGCCTTTGAACCCAAACAGTAGTATAGCTGGAGGATCAAAGCCTGCTCATTTTGATCCGATATCATCGTTAGCTCAAATGTCTCAACAGTTAACAAACAGTGTTAGTTCTCTTAATGGACAGCCTGGAAATGCCAGTGGTATGATGCCCTTCAACAGTCATCCCATGATGATGGGTCCAGGTGAAATGGGGATGTCTGGTATGGGAGATGGTCCAATGCCAAATATGGGTCCAATGGATGGTCCTTGTAACATGCCCATGGGAATGGGAATGCAATATCCTAATATGCAGAACTCACCGCAGGGCATGATAAATACAACATCAGCTATGTCCATATCTCCTAAATTATGCAATCCAATGGGTGGCCCTGGTCACATGGGTCCTTTTCCGACTCCTTTGGGCCCGAGAATGCAAAGACCTTCATTCCCTCCAGGTCAAAATCCTTATAATGGAGCAAATATTCAAGTTAAAGCTAGTGCACCTAATACAATTCAGTATTTGCCAGCAAGGCCGCAGGTGAGCAGTAGTAATCCACGAGCGCCGCCGAGCTTAGATTTTCTACATAGATTTGCTAACCCATTGAACAATATAGATGGTAAAATGGCTGGGCAAAACCCATCTCTCAATTTTCCTGGCTATATTCCTCCAGGTCCAATGGGTGGAATGTCAATGGGCCCTGGACCAATGGAAGGTATGGGGGACATGGGTCCAATGATGGGGATGCCTGGAGGTATTATGAGCCAAGGTATGGTAATGCGGGGTATGAGGCCACAAGGAAACATGATGCGAATGCCACACATGGGTAATGCCTTTAATGGACCTGCAAATGGTCCTGACCAAATGTTTCCAGGTCCAAACATGGGCCAAGGAGCTAATCCACAAATGTTTGTTGCCGGTTCAAAATCTAGCCCTATGGGGTTAGGAGCACCTGATGCTAGCCAACCATTACCTCCATCAATGGGCCAGGCGAGTAATTTCAAAAGCTCACCATTTGTAGGACCTACAACGGCTGATCCCAATTATGCCCAGCAATTTCATAACTTTCAACAGCAGCTGTATGCCACGACAAGTACACGAAGTCAAATAGGACAGGGAATGCCACCAAATCAATATTTTGTGCCCAAGTGAAATGATAAAAGAAACATTTTCTGATTTTGCGTTTTTGTTGAATTCAATATAATTTTCAATATAACATTATTTGTGATTGATAATTGACTAAAAAAAGTTTTAAACGACAATTACAGACGATTTAATGTTTTTGAGTGATAGTTTTATAGTGTTGAAGTGTTAAATAAATTATGAATTTTAAAGACATCTCGAATGCAAATAAACTAAGATGGAGTTAATCTTAACTATGTACAAAATATCTTGTTATATCCTTAATAGTGGCTAAGACTCATCACTTGATAATCCTATGATATTCACAAACTGTATAAATATGAATTTGCCCTTGTCGATATCAGCAGTCTTTTATTATAATTATAAATCAATTTTTTTCTTTAGTGTGAATAAGTACACATATTTTTTCAATTTTAACTAAATTCTGTTTATGTGAACTTTAATTTGTCATAAATAATAGATTTGATTTTAATGCACAATGAAAACCCGTAAGTTATGCTAAATATATTATGGAGATTGAAGTTTTTGAAAAGAAAAGAAATTGTTCAGCTGATATGCATATATCAAACTTCTAGTATTACTTTTAGTATTGGTTGTGTAGAGTGGTATGAGATTCCGACATAATATTTTCAAAATCTTTGACAATGACTATTTGTACAATCAGTCATAGGCTTAACGAATACTTTGCAATTTTATACCAATTGATTAAGTGGCATTTACTGAAAATTTGACTCATTTTTTGAAGCACACAGAATCCAAATTGTAAAGCCAACTTTCAGTATAAGGTTGATTTGTCATATGTTTTATGAAATTGTATTTGTCCTATGTTGGATAGTAATTGTTTATTATTCAAGCTTTGTTTTAGAATATAGTGTCTATATTTTATTTTTGATATTAATAGTTTAATACACTCTACAGTGGTTTTGATTCACCAAATCAAATTTTATGGGTTTCCTTTGTATATATGTATGTAGATCAAGTACCTGTTGCATATGTGACTATTCAAGATAATTCGACAGTCTTACTACTATTACATGATTTACTTATGTGCAACTCTTAGGAAGATCTATTTTTGCATTGGTTAAGATATTTTTGAACATGAAATGATCGTTACGAATTATTTAAATATTATATAGATTTCTTATGAAATTTTGCATTATTTGAACTGAGATAATTGACTTCAGTTATAGAAGCAATAATAATTAATGATAAAACAAGCTCAAGGAATACATGACAAGTGTGAAATAATTGAATAATAGTATTTTGTTATTTCATATCTTATGACAAGAATTGAATATATTAGTTTGTAAATATTGTTTGCTATTCTTGTTTTGCAATATTTTGTTACGTAACTATCGCAGATTCAATAACATTTTTGTAAAAAAAAAAAATAGTTTTTCTTTTATTGTAAGGCAGGTCAGAGTTTCATAACAAATTATATATATATATATATATATATATATATATATATATATATATATAGTTCTGAATTTCATGTTGACATATGCATTAACAGAGTCTAATAATCGGGTAAACATCAATTTCCTTAAAAATTCATTCTAAACAATACCTTCATCATTCAGTGGAAACAAAAAATGAAATTTTAAAACTAAAATGTATAACAATTGACTTTGAAAAATTACTGTTTATTTTTTGTAATTTTTAAAACTCAATTGTTATACTTTGGTTTCTAAATTTTATTCTTAATATTTAATTTAACTTAATTTAATAATATTTTAAATTTTTAATTTTTAAATTTTATTTTGAGCTTCCACTGAATTAAGGGTAGGACTATTGCTGAAATGTACGGATTTTAGAATAAATTATTAAAGAATGCTTTTATTGATGTTATGCTCAATTATTAGACTCTTAAAATATTATATATATATATATATATATATATATACACATATATATACATATATATATATACACACACATATATATACATATATATTTCAAAGTAACTAGCAGCCCATTCGTCGAAATAAAAAAGGTATAAAGTATAAAAACTTTTATTTATACGTTTCGACACAAGATGCGTGTCACCATTCAGCAACTACAACAATTTGAAATTTTTTTTAACTAATATAAACACCAAAACATCAAATTTAAATATAAACATCATAAAATAAAAATATAAACATCAAATTAGTTTTCAAATCTTTTAATTATTCATAATTTTTTCTAAAAAAATGTTTTTCTCTAATATGTTATTAAGTTTAATTTTTAAAATAAATTTTTGTTGAGTGTTTTTGTCCTGTGGTGTGTATAATGTTTCTCTATGTTATAATTAATCTATATTGGTGTTTATATTAGTTAATAAAATTTTCAAATTGTTGTAGTTGCTGAATGATGACACGCATCATGTGTCGAAACGTATAAATAAAAGTTTTTATACTTTATACCTTTTTTATTTCGACGAATGGGCTGCTAGTTACTTTGAAATATGTTTCAATGTCGAAAAAACTATCAAGATACATATATATATATACACACACATATATATATATATATATATATATATCCAGGTAAATGTAACTTTTCACTAATGATCTTTTGCGTGAAAATGGTAGACACCAGGCAAAAATTGAATCTTTTGAATGATGTTATGAAAAGTTTAAAAATTCCTTTCTCAAGATGCTTAACGAAGTTAAATTTATATTTAGCCTTCTTTCGAATCATTTTCCTGTTACAAATTAGTATGTCGATTATGAAATTTATTTTGTTTCGAATACTGATTCTTCGAGATGCACTTTGTCAGTAATATGTAGTAGTAGAAAAAGATATTTTTGATAACTTTGGGCCCTAAATGACCCAAGCATATTGGCATAAGTTGCATATTTATATTTGATTTGGGAATCGAAGAACGATTATTACTTATGTATTTCTGCAATAATTATTTAATTATTTACTATAAATAAATTTTAAAATTTTGACATGTTAAAAAGACTTTTTTTGTATATAATTTGATAAATGACAATTCTGTAATATTTTTATGTAACAAATTTATATATAAACTTACTTGTTGAGTTGCTGTGACACATCTATTAGTTCCAAACTGTCAAAGCCTTTCAGAAGGATCCACGTTTATTTGCAAATCTTGATACATTTTGTTGAATTATTTAATGCTAAATGGTATTTTAAGATAGGAACGACGTACCACTACAAATTTTCGTATTGCACTTAAATAAAAGAAAAAAGTTGTATGCATAGTATATTTTTAAATAACGCTAATATTGAGGTTTTGTACATAATAATCTTGCAAAAGTAATATTTGAAATGAACTATACTACAAAACGAAACAGCCACCCACTTCCTAGAACTAACTCCATCTGAAATCGACGGAACATATCACTTATCATTGATTAGTTTGTTTTATTATATTTACAAATATAGACAATTATTTTTGTATGGAATGAAACAAGTTTACACATACGAAGCAAACATGCTGAATATTAAAAAATATTTTATTTAAGTTCATTTTATTAATCTTGCTGATTTTGAAGAAATGAATCTCTCACATTCATAATATGATTTTTCATAAATAACAACGAAATACATATTGTTGTTTAATAATTATTTTTAACCATAGAACCACATTTAGAGTTTATTTATAATTCGGCATCTATGTTATGTCGAAATTTTAACACGCAGAATTTAATGAAATCGTAATTAACTGTCTCGATGCCTGACAATATCTAGCGTCTCCAAGTACAATACTACAAAATATCTCATAACTTTTATCGGCATACGCATGTGATTGCACATGAGTATTACAGTCTTAATTAAATAATTCAACTTGTTTGAAATTATATATCAACTATTTTTTTCCGCGGCACTGATCCAACTTTTAAGTTTACACATAATTGCTTCCTAGTTATTAGTCCATGTCGATAATATTTCAGTTCCAATTGGACAGTGCGTTTTCTTGTGGTACTTATATTGTTAAAATTGCTATTGTCAATGTTAACTAGGTGCTTCAAATTTTTCGAAGACCTGCATTTGTAACTTAAGTTCTACAACATCATATATATATATATATATATATATATATATATATATTCAGAAAATTTCCAAAGGGCACTCGTAAATTTGCTATGAAAGTTTCCATAATAATCTTCACTTAAGAGCTAAGAGCTATTGACACTAATGCATTTACTAGCATTATTTGCATTAATATAATTATATTAAAATATACAATAAAAATATTGCAAATAGATCTCATACGTTGCCTGGAAGTAATTTTTATGTTACCCGTACGTGGCAATGCAACACGTGGTTGCGCAGCTGTGTTTCACCGCAATTTCATATGCATATTCAAATTTTCTTTAAAGATAAAATTTACGATACAGCAACTATGCTTTTCTTTATCAAACATTATTATTAAATAAATATTTTATTTCAGTTATTAACCCTTTGCACTCGGGTGTCCTGTCTCAAAGGGCATGATATTTTGCTAGAGATTACGGACAATTAATTTATTCCATCGCAAATTTTCAAGAAGCACGTGTTTTCTTGTTGTTTGCTGTTAGAATGGCACAAAAATTAATAAAAATATAATAAAAGTGAAAAAATGTACGATAAATAAATGGATGGTTTTGCACATAGAAAAAAACGTGCAATTTTTTTTCAAACAATTAATTACAGATAAACGGCCGGTCGATATTTGCCAAAAATTAATCAGCACGATAGCCAGCTGATACTTTTCGAATTTTCAGAACCGTTTCAGGATTTTTTGCGAAAACAAACTTCTCCTACAGAAAGTAACACAAATTTTGCCATTTTATATAAAACATATATTTATTACAATTTTTGACTAGTTTCTAAAATTATACTGCGTTTTCAGGATGAACGTTTTTGTTCAAAAGTGACGTCGAGTTGCTGGTAGGTAACGTCTGAAGCAGTGCAGAGTGCAAAGGGTTAATTTAACAGGTATGCTTCTTATTTTTATCATAACTTCTATTAAATACTAACTTGGATCGAGGATCAAAACGTATAGTCAAGGAGAAAGATTATTATCAAAACCTTTGATGTTAAATTCATTTATGACCTTTGGAAATGTTCATATATATATATATATATATATATATATATATATATATATATATATATATATATATATATATATATATATATATACCGACGATCTTTGACAAAGTCCCAATGAAATGCTGCAATTTAGAATATTAATGCTAGCCAGTAATTAATATTATAACCAATATTTTATGTATTTTAGAGTCATGTAATATTTTACAAGGAAATAATATTAAATACAAGTAATTAGTAATATGTATATCATATTGCTCTCATTTAAAATGTATGCAATAAGAAAAAATAGACCATTTAGCAAATATTATTCAAGATCCAACTTTCTTGTATATTTATATAATAAAAAATTGGTGCTTTCTAAAAGTACAGAAGTCATGTTTTTATCCATAACGTACCTCAATTGGAATCTCATTTTACTTTTTTGAACTGTGCACAAGGTCTTCGGTTTTAAGAGTAATACGGGAAAAGATGTCAAAATTTTAGTATGAATCACAATCATATCATAAAACGGCACACTCCAGCAAAATAAAAAAAACGAAATATATTTAACAGTGCTACGCTATACATATAAGATGTTTCTATCTATACATATTTTAAATAATTCATTACTGTATTCTATGATATAATTATATTACGTAATATATTATACACTTCAAAGCCAAATGGATTGGTATTATTGACTGTACATAACATATGTCATAATGTTTGTTGTTAAATACATATTTGTGTTTATTGTTTATCATCGCAATGGTGAAGATACTTTTGACTACGGACACATTGAAAATTCGTAATCAAATTTATCCACTCATGAATGACCTTCTTTCCTATCTATTCAAATACACATAAATGCACTTGAAAACATTATTATCTTTATATATATTTGTTTAAGGTTTCTATCGTGAAATGAAAGCCAGTTCGTTATCCTTTCCAAGGGCGGTTTGAATTAAGATTGCGATTATTTCATTGAAGACACGCGGTAGGCTAGGACTAAAATACTAGCTAACAGTATTAATGTTACTTATTAGTCAATGCAGTTTCTTAATTGCAACGCCCATGAAACTAGAAAACGAAGGTTGGAATACTGTTGATGAACTTTATGCGATTGTAAACGAATATTATGAGGAATTAGAGTAAACATATATCTCGTCCAGACTTAATCAATTCCCAATATCGATACACATTCGACGTTTACAATCACAGGCTAAAAGTTATTTTATAATAAAATACTCACTTTGGCGACACGATTCTATTTTATACTAGACCCAAGTCGGTTGCAGCTAAAGTAAATAATGAATCTCAAACCAAACAGATTTGTACTTAAATTACAAACTTCGAATCAATAACGATATGCGACTTTGATTACATCAGACGATCTTTGAAAAAGTTCAATTTTAAAATTTTATTTACACATAAACGCACTTGAAATAAATATCAACAACGAACGTTTATTAAATCAACCGGCAACAAAATTTTTGTTCGTTCTAAATAGTTAGATTTCGTACGTCTATGTTAGTAACGCGCGCCTGCATTACATTTTACTCTATTAAAATATGAAGTAGGTTTTAAGTTTTATGAAATAATAATAATAATATTGTTCTGCTTAATTATTTTTGGTGTAATCGTATGTCGGCGAGTCCGGCCCGTCAGCGTTGAATATTTTATTATTTTTCTTTATTATTGTTTTAACGAGCAGCCGGTGGACTCTGCGCCGCCACTGGCGCAGGCTGGACGACCACGGGCGCCACTGGCTGCGGGGCGGCGGCCGGCGCGGACTCCGGCATGAATTTCACTGAAAATTGAAAAGCGGGAACCGACAGGTTCCGGTTAGAGTTTCTCTCGGCAAACACATCAAAAATAATATAATTTGCACAACATCGACCCAAAAAAATACTGGAATTATTCTGTAGCTATTTTTTACATAACTTATGCAATATTCGAAAATTAAACAAGTTATTTCGATTTTATGAACCTTTTAAAAAAATTTTTATATTATCTTTTAATTGAAACTGACACTGTTATTTATTATTCCAAATTTTTTTGGAGTCGATGTGGCACATTCATGTTAACGAGTAAATACATACTTTCGAATTTGATTAAATTCCATTAATCTATTTTTTAAAATTATCAGGTTGGCAACTAAGTAAGTGTGGAGTTTTGTTAGAAAATCCAATACTTTTTTTTCTTCACTAAGTAACTTGATTCTGTAATGCATGATTCATTTCGATCTATGATTTTTTGCCATCTGTTGCACTTTGTACGCATCATTATCCAACTTTCATAGTGGATTTTATTAGCCAAATTTTGAATCAGGTTCAATTTAACAGCATGATAATCATTGAATCGTTTACCATTCAAAGTTTTGAAAAGATCGTAATAAAAATTAATCAGACTGTGCAAAAGCTATATGGTGGATTTGGCAAAACATCCCAACCAAGCTCCAATAATTTTTGCCGAGTGGCCAAAAATATGTGATGTCAAATAATAGAATACATAACCGTTTCAATTTGTCAATTTAGACAGGATTGATCGTCTGGTTTGGTGGTGAGAGTAAAAGTAGACAATTTCTTTGTAATCAATTTCAACTGGACGACCAGACCGTCTTTCATCTTTCAGTGAAATTTTGAAAACCAATTTGAGCACTGATTTTTTAAGCTTCATCATCATAAATAGTGTAAAACTTTTTGTGAACTTAAGATGCCTTTTTAACTTTGCAGAAATGAAAAAGCAAAATATGACAAAAATTTTCTCTTTTATTTTCCATCTTTCGACAAACGCAAAACGAAAACTACGCAGCAAACGATGAAAAAACTCTTTTTACTTATTGACTACTATTCAATATCAAAGGTTTTTTTATATTTAGACCACGCCAAAAAACCTAAAAATTCAATTGAACTTAAGAGTGAAATCCGCACTCACTTAATTGCCAACCTAATATAACAACTTGAAATAAAAATATACAAATTCAAAAGTATGTATTACACAATTGATCCACGATTTTCTTAAAACATCGAAGATTCAAATTTATTTTTTTAATTATACATATGCACTTAAAACCAGTTAAATAAAGCTGATTTGAGAGTGCAAATAAGATTAGTCCAGTCATTTAAGCTTAAATTAGGTAAGAATCTCGGAATTCGAGATACCCATCTGTAAGTCTGTAAATACTTGTATATTAACACCTTAAAGTTTCTCAAAAACCTACATATGGTAGGGTGTCAACATCATATGTAGGTTTTGAGACAACTTTAGGGTGTCAATATACAAGTATTTACAGACTTACAGCTGGGTATCTCGAATTCCGAGGTGAACTTACTATAATGACTGGACTAGATATCAATCAATTTTAAGAAAAACGTTTCAATACCGATTCATATATCATAATATATCCACTTATTGAATTTTTTGCAAGTGTTTCTACAATTGCAAATGAAGTATAGGTACGCTCAACATAAAGTACTTCGAGTCCACATATACGAACACATAAACAAACATACGTAAATAATGCATTTTCTAATCGTATTAAATCCATTACCGATGGTGCTAATGCATCATCTAATCTATAGACAAACTTACTAACAAAATAGCAAAGTTGATAAATGAAAGATCCTATAAATAAAAAAAATCCTACTCATATAGTATCATATATAATAATACAAAGTAGAAATAAGAAAAACAAATTCTTTTATTTTATGATACATTTCTATTTTTCAAAAACGTTTGAAACTATTTTTATAAAAATTATTTTTATTGGTTCAAAATAAACGGTTAGTCTACGCTTGCTATTTATAAGAATTACAGTGAAAAATTGTTGGGTTATTGTAGAGAGAATACGTGCAAAATATTGGATTCTAAAACTAGTGGGGCGCATGGCATCATGCCTTAAGGCAAATTGCTGGAACTTCCCGTACCAAAAATTATTTTTTTGAAAACGATTAACATTTTTGAAAAAAATTTACTTAAAAAAATTAGATTTTTGAGAAACTATAAATTTGACAAAAAATTACTTTTTATTGAAAAAAAATTTCTTTATTTTGACATATTTTAGAAATTCTGAACTTTTCTTCAAAGCAATCGTACTGCTTTAACTGCATAGAGATAAAATGTCAAAGCGCGTAAGCGCCGCGTCGCCGTCTAACGGATAAACATTGGTACGGAACCCATAGGAATGTAAACAAAATTTATACTTATTGTTAAAATCTCTATAAAATATCTGATAATTTGATGTGCATATGTCTAATGATCATTTTTGACCGCCAAATGCATTTTTTTTACTTTTTTAGATCTCCGAAACCGCTAGAGCTGCCTTCTTGAAAATTGATAAATTCTTCATCTTGTCAATACAAGTAAAATGTTTTTTGAAATATTAAAATCGGACGTTCCGTTCTCTTAAAAACTGAGTTACCATTTTTGGCACTTTTTGCCCCGTATCTACGGAACGGCTAAACCTGCCTTCGCCAAAAACTAATCAGCACGTCTCCTTATAAATACGAATCGAATGTTTTTTGAATTATTCAAATCGGTTGATTAGTGTTCCCGAAATCGTCGACAAAAATTTGTATCCTCACACACACACATACACGCACACGCACACGCACACGCACACGCACACACACACACATATATACACACACACATTCATCCATTTTTTCTAAGGTATGCCAAAATGTTCAAAAGGTTTTGCGATTACTATAACTTGCCCTACGGGAAGTTAATTATTTCACGTGTATATACTTGGCACCGCGATGGTGGAAATTGGCAAAACTGATATGACCTGATTTTTTGACAATTTTTTTGCTGTCGATTGGTGCAAACTAAAATTTTTTTGCTCTTTCCGTTCTCGAGATAAATGGGTGGGGCCAAATTCGGTGCTAACTATATATATAGTCAGCACCGACCCCTTTAAAACTGCAAAAAAATTAAAATTTCTTTTTACTATCGTTATCAGTAATTTTTTTGCTGTCGAAAGGTGCAATTAATTTTTGGAAAAGTTTTACCCATCATACATTTTCACGCATAGGAAAATTCCCATTTTTGCCAATTTAAAAAAATTGACAAATTTGAAAATGCCCAATTTTTTTGCTCGCTTACTTAAATATAAAACAAAAAAAAATTTTTCAAAAAATTTATTTTTTCACCCCTTTTCAGAGAGGTTGCCAATTTTTTTGGGTGTCCACAGGTCACTTTTTCAAAATTGTTTCGGAATCTGTGATTTTTTTGCTCTGCGATACAAAAAAGAAAAATTCAAAAAAATAAATTTTAATTTTGATTTTTTTCGTAGCATAAAATCGAATAGTTTGCGTCCATAAGTACTACGTAGTATACGATGCTTTTCAATTTATTTACTTACCCCCAAAACAGACTTAATGAATCAATTAGTCAACAATATTTCAGTAATTTCAGTAAATAAATAATGCGTCTTTGGCCACCCGCCGCCGAGAGACTCTACGGTGTAGAGAGTCTCTACGCACTGGGTCTCTCGATGATGAGCGAGTGAGAAAGCTATACGCCATTGAGCGAGTGAGACGGCTATATATATGCACCGCGATTCCTGTTACATTTTAACAAATTTATATAAAAATTGTATAAAACTATTAATTCCTGTCGAACACATATTTTTGTAAAGGTATTGTTGATGATTTTGTTGGAAAAAAATAAGCACATTTAAAGCGGATTGCAATTCGTTTTCATACTACGAAAAAAATCAAAATTAAAACTTATTTTTTTGAATTTTTCTTTTTTGTATCGCAGAGCAAAAAAATCACAGATTCCGAAACAATTTTTAAATTTTTGAAAAAGTGACCTGTGGACACCCCAAAAAATTGGCAACCCCTTTGAAAAGGAGTGAAAAAATAAATTTTTTGAAAAAAAATTTTTTGTTTTATATTTAAGTAAGCGAGCAAAAAAATTGGGCATTTTCAAAATTGTCAATTTTTTCAAATTGGCAAATTTGGGAATTTTCCTATGCGTGAAAATCTATGATGGGCCAAACTTTTCCAAAAATTAATTGCATCATTCGACAGCAAAAAAATCACTGATAACGATAGTTAAGAGAAATTTTATTTTTTTTGCATTTTTAAAGGGGTCGGTGCTGACTATATATATAGTTAGCACCGAATTTGGCCCCACCCATTTATATCAAGAACGGAAAGAGCAAAAAAATTTTAGTTTGCACCAATCGACAGCAAAAAAATCGTCAAAAAATCAGGTCATATCAGTTTTGCCAATTTCCACCATCGCGGTGCCAAGTATATACACGTAATTATTTCTGATAAGCGTTTAGTAGTATGTATCTCAAAGTTCTGATATTATTCAAAAAAGTTCAAAGTTCAAATTACAAACTTGGATTTTAACTACTTAAACATTCAGGCGTTTGTAATTCAAAAAATAAGTTCACAATAATGAATTTAAGTACGTGTTATCCACAATATATTTACTAGAGCTTTTATATTAAATAAAAATATATTTCAATTTTTGCAGATTTGTGACTTGAACTTTCCCTATCAAGAGAGTGGTTTATATTTAGATAAATGACACGCCATGAAAAAAGAAACCTAATGGGAATGTAATTGATTATTTAATTAAACGCTTGTGTCTACATCGTAATTCAGCGAGGGAAAACTTTTAAGGAGATATCAGAATTTCTTTTATATTTTCGTATTTTATGGATAAAGTCACTACATCTACTAATTCGAACCAGATTATAAGAAACGTTTTAAAAAACACTTTCAATTGCAGCTAAGATTTTTTATTACAAAAATTCAAATTCATTTTAGTAGAGTGAGGTTTAAA